TAGGTCATAGGGCATCATGTACAGCTTACTAGACAGGTGGCCCATCACCATTAGGTCATAGGGCATCATGTACAGCTTACTAGACAAGTGGCCCATCACCATTAGGTCATCGGGCATCATGTACAGCTTACTAGACAGGTGGCCCATCACCATTAGGTTATCGGGAATCATGTACAGCTTACTAGACAGGTGGCCCATCACCATTAGGTCATAGGGCATCATGTACAGCTTATAAGAGAGGTGGCCCATCTCCATTAGGTCATAGGGCATCATGTACAGCTTACTAGACATGTGGCCCATCACCATTAGGTCATAGGGCATCATGTACAGCTTGCTAGACAGGTGGCCCATCACCATTAGGTCATAGGGCATCATGTACAGCTTGCTAGACAGGTGGCCCATCACCATTAGGTCATAGGGCATCATGTACAGCTTATAAGAGAGGTGGCCCATCTCCATTAGGTCATAGGGCATCATGTACAGCTTACTAGACAGGTGGCCTATCACCATTAGGTCATCGGGCATCATGTACAGCTTGCTAGACAGGTGGCCCATCACCATTAGGTCATAGGGCATCATGTACAGCTTACTAGACAAGTGGCCCATCACCATTAGGTCATAGGGCATCATGTACAGCTTATTAGAGAGGTGGCCCATCACCATTAGGTCATAGGGCATCATGTACAGCTTACTAGACAAGTGGCCCATCACCATTAGGTCATAGGGCATCATGTACAGCTTATTAGAGAGGTGGCCCATCTCCATTAGGGCATCGGGCATCATGTACAGCTTACGAGACAAGTGGCCCATCACCATTAGGTCATCGGGCATCATGTACAGCTTACTAGACAGGTGGCCCATCACCATTAGGTTATCAGGCATCATGTACAGCTTATTAGAGAGGTGGCCCATCACCATTAGGTCATAGGGCATCATGTACAGCTTACTAGACAAGTGGCCCATCACCATTAGGTCATAGGGCATCATGTACAGCTTATTAGAGAGGTGGCCCATCTCCATTAGGGCATCGGGCATCATGTACAGCTTACTAGACAAGTGGCCCATCACCATTAGGTCATCGGGCATCATGTACAGCTTACGAGACAGGTGGCCCATCACCATTAGGTCATAGGGCATCATGTACAGCTTATTAGAGAGGTGGCCCATCACCATTAGGTCATAGGGCATCATGTACAGCTTATTAGAGAGGTGGCCCATCACCATTAGGTCATAGGGCATCATGTACAGCTTACTAGAACAGGTGGCCCATCACCATTAGGTCATCGGGCATCATGTACAGCTTACTAGACACAGGTGGACCATCACCATCGGGCATCATGTACAGCTTACTAAAGTACTGTCGGAAATGCTAGAAAAATGCTATTTAGCCTGAATATCTTTAGAAAGGTGATAAATGTATTATGTTGTCAATATATCAACTAACCTATAGTGTACCTAATTTTTATTTCAATTGATTTAACATTCCCATGCATTTAAAGGGCAGTTTACAGGGGAGAAGTTGGTACCAAAACAACAACTTAGAATTTTTCAGAGTTCAACAACAGAAATCTGAAATAGTCTTTACATTTATGCTAATAATACAGGTGGTGTGAAAATATAATTTAACGTTTTTCTTAAACAAATAAATGTTGAATGTTTGTGTTACTTGACTTAATTATCGCTTTCTTTATTGAAGAAATATTAATATAAATGTTAAGTCTTGATAAATAAGTTTCCCGTCATGCATGCACATCTTTATCACAGCGTCCACTATGGCCAACTATTTGCAGACGATTGTTGCAAAGGTTTATAAGTTTTTTGTGCTTGAAAAAGACAGAGGTAAACCTTTCATTAGTATAGAAATGGTTTAATACAGAACTTGTAGAGCTGTTGGTATGTCTTACCAACAAGTTTACAATATTGTAAACAAATCAGACAAGACAGGGACCGTCTCAACACCATTAGGTCATAGGGCATCATGTACAGCTTACTAGACAGTTGGCCTATCACCATTAGGTCATCGGGCATCATGTACAGCTTACTAGACAAGTGGCCCATCACCATTAGGTCATAGGGCATCATGTACAGCTTATTAGAGAGGTGGCCCATCTCCACTAGGTCATAGGGCATCATGTACAGCTTACTAGACAGGTGGCCCATCACCATTAGGTTATCGGGCATCATGTACAGCTTACTAGACAAGTGGCCCATCACCATTAGGGCATCGGGCATCATGTACAGCTTACTAGACAGGTGGCCCATCACCATTAGGTCATCGGGCATCATGTACAGCTTACTAGACAGGTGGCCCATCACCATTAGGTTATCGGGCATCATGTACAGCTTACTAGACAGGTGGCCCATCACCATTAGGTCATCTGGCATCATGTACAGCTTACTAGACAAGTGGCCCATCACCATTAGGTCATCGGGCATCATGTACAGCTTACTAGACAGGTGGCCCATCACCATTAGGTTATCGGGGAATCATGTACAGCTTACTAGACAGGTGGCCCATCACCATTAGGTCATAGGGCATCATGTACAGCTTATAAGAGGGTGGCCCATCTCCATTAGGGTCATAGGGCATCATGTACAGCTTACTAGACATGTGGCCCATCACCATTAGGTCATAGGGCATCATGTACAGCTTGCTAGACAGGTGGCCCATCTCCATTAGGTCATAGGGCATCATGTACAGCTTACTAGACAGGTGGCCCATCACCATTAGGTCATCGGGCATCATGTACAGCTTACTAGACAAGTGGCCCATCACCATTAGGTCATCGGGCATCATGTACAGCTTACTAGACAGGTGGCCCATCACCATTAGGTTATCGGGAATCATGTACAGCTTACTAGACAGGTGGCCCATCACCATTAGTTCATAGGGCATCATGTACAGCTTGCTAGACAGGTGGCCCATCACCATTAGGTCATAGGGCATCATGTACAGCTTATAAGAGAGGTGGCCCATCTCCATTAGGTCATAGGGCATCATGTACAGCTTACTAGACAGGTGGCCTATCACCATTAGGTCATCGGGCATCATGTACAGCTTGCTAGACAGGTGGCCCATCACCATTAGGTCATAGGGCATCATGTACAGCTTACTAGACAAGTGGCCCATCACCATTAGGTCATAGGGCATCATGTACAGCTTATTAGAGAGGTGGCCCATCACCATTAGGTCATAGGGCATCATGTACAGCTTACTAGACAAGTGGCCCATCACCATTAGGTCATAGGGCATCATGTACAGCTTATTAGAGAGGTGGCCCATCTCCATTAGGGCATCGGGCATCATGTACAGCTTACTAGACAAGTGGGCCATCACCATTAGGTCATCGGGCATCATGTACAGCTTACTAGACAGGTGGCCCATCACCATTAGGTTATCAGGCATCATGTACAGCTTACGAGACAGGTGGCCCATCACCATTAGGTCATAGGGCATCATGTACAGCTTATTAGAGAGGTGGCCCATCACCATTAGGTCATAGGGCATCATGTACAGCTTATTAGAGAGGTGGCCCATCACCATTAGGTCATAGGGCATCATGTACAGCTTACTAGACAGGTGGCCCATCACCATTAGGTCATCGGGCATCATGTACAGCTTACTAGACAGGTGGACCATCACCATCGGGCATCATGTACAGCTTACTAAAGTACTGTCGGAAATGCTAGAAAAATGCTATTTAGCCTGAATATCTTTAGAAAGGTGATAAATGTATTATGTTGTCAATATATCAACTAACCTATAGTGTACCTAATTTTTATTTCAATTGATTTAACATTCCCATGCATTTAAAGGGCAGTTTACAGGGGAGAAGTTGGTACCAAAACAACAACTTAGAATTTTTCAGAGTTCAACAACAGAAATCTGAAATAGTCTTTACATTTATGCTAATAATACAGGTGGTGTGAAAATATAATTTAACGTTTTTCTTAAACAAATAAATGTTGAATGTTTGTGTTACTTGACTTAATTATCGTTTCTTTATTGAAGAAATATTAATATAAATGTTAAGTCTTGATAAATAAGTTTCCCGTCATGCATGCACATCTTTATCACAGCGTCCACTATGGCCAACTATTTGCAGACGATTGTTGCAAAGGTTTATAAGTTTTTTGTGCTTGAAAAAGACAGAGGTAAACCTTTCATTAGTATAGAAATGGTTTAATACAGAACTTGTAGAGCTGTTGGTATGTCTTACCAACAAGTTTACAATATTGTAAACAAATCAGACAAGACAGGGACCGTCTCAACACCATTAGGTCATAGGGCATCATGTACAGCTTACTAGACAGTTGGCCTATCACCATTAGGTCATCGGGCATCATGTACAGCTTACTAGACAGGTGGCCCATCTCCATTAGGGCATCGGGCATCATGTACAGCTTACTAGAAAAGTGGCCCATCTCCATTAGGTCATAGGGCATCATGTTCAGCTTACTAGACAGGTGGCCCATCACCATTAGGTCATCGGGCATCATGTACAGCTTACTAGACAGGTGGCCCATCACCATTAGGTCATAGGGCATCATGTACAGCTTGCTAGACAGGTGGCCCATCACCATTAGGTCATCGGGCATCATGTACAGCTTGCTAGACAGGTGGCCCATCACCATTAGGTCATAGGGCATCATGTACAGCTTATTAGAGAGGTGGCCCATCACCATTAGGTCATAGGGCATCATGTACAGCTTGCTAGACAGGTGACCCATCACCATTAGGTCATTGGGCATTATGAACAGCTTGCTAGACAGGTGGCCCATCACCATTAGGTCATAGGGCATCATGTACAGCTTACTAGACAGGTGGCCCATCACCATTAGGTCATAGGGCATCATGTACAGCTTACTAGACAGGTGGACCATCACCATTAGGTCATAGGGCATCATGTACAGCTTACTAAACAGGTGGCCCATCACCATTAGGTAAGTAAGCAAAGAATTCAGGTGGTGCTGTCTGACACAGCCTTGTCTTTTTTCAGACACAGCCTCAGCTCCTGACAGTGCCTCTGCCTCAGACAGACCAGTAGAAGGGCCAGCTTATGGTGTGGTGTTTTCTATCCCATACCTTGCGTCAGTTTGCGGAGCTGTCATCCTCCTCCTCTTCCTCGCTGTATTTGGACTAGCCCTCGCTCCTGGTAGGTGGTTCGTGCATACTGCATCCTAGAACTTTGCGGACGTACAAGCAAATATGTCCTGGCACCCAGTACCTGTACACCAGCTAGACAGGTGTCCTAGCACCCAGCCTGTAAAGGTCTGGGTTAGAATGTGCTTTCAGTAACCCATGCTTGTTGTAAGAGGCGACTAACAGGATTGGGTGGTCAGGCTTGCTGACTTGGTTGACCTATGTCATCGGTTCCCTTTTTTCGCAAATCGATGCTCATGCTGTTGATCACTGGATTGTCTGGTCCAGCCTTGATTATTTACAGACCGCCGCCATATACTGAAATATTGCTGAGTGCGGCGTAAAACTAAACTCACTCACCCACTTCTAGCACCCAGTACCTGTACAACCAACTAGACAGGCGTCCTAGCACCCAGTACCTGTACAACCAACTAGACAGGTGACCTAGCACCTAGTACCTCCACAACCAACTAGACAGGTGTCCTAGCATCCAGTACTTGTACAACCAACGACGCAGGTGGCCCAGTACTTGTACAACCAACTTGACAGTTGTCATAGCACCCAGTGTCTGTACAACTAACTAGACAGGTGACCTTGCATCCAGTACCCGTACAACCAACGAGACAGGTGACCTAGCACCCAGTACCTGTACAAATCAAATGGTCACTGAGCACTATTGACTGTGGCTATTCCTAATCAAGGTGTCACTGAGCACTATTGACTGTGGCTATTTCTAACCAAATGGTCACTGAGCACTATTGACTGTGGCTATTCCTAATCAAGGTGTCACTGAGCACTTTTGACTGTGGCTATTCCTAATCAAATGATCACTGAGCACTATTGACTGTGGCTATTCCTAATCAAATGTTCACTGAGCACTATTGACTGTGGCTATTCCTAATCAAATGGTCACTGAGCACTATTGACTGTTGCTATTCCTAACCAAATGGTCACTGAGCACTATTGACTGTGGCTATTCCTAACCAAATGGTCACTGAGCACTATTGACTGTTGCTATTCCTAACCAAAAGGTCACTGAGCACTTTTGACTGTGGCTATATTTTTTAAAAATAAAAATCTAGATTTTTGCAACCGTATATTGTTTTTATATGTTATGAGTAACTTATATTTCAAATTGAACGAAATCGGTGAAGAATTGGATTTTTTAGAAAATTCTCCCGCTACACTCATTACATATAATGCACAAGGGGTGACACTCGCGATTCTAAAAGCCTGATCAAAACCGGACAGCCTGACAATATTAAGGCACGCTCAATCAAATCTTATGTTTTTCTCAAAACAATGTGTTGAGCTTGTAGATTATTCTTTTGGCCTTCTGCTCATCGTATTCAGTTTGTCTAACTGCATTTCATATTTAACCAATGACCCTCGCATTAGCACGACCCTCCACTTTGAACAAACGTCTGGCCGCCCTTCGGTAAATATCGACCCTGTCCGAAAATCTCAGAATGACTCAGAACACAAAACGTCTCTCATTGGTCAATTTCCACGTGTATGGGGAAAACAACAATCAAACATGGCAGACAGGGCAGTGAGAGGGGCCATCGATGGCCATAATCTGTTGATTTGGGGCCAAGCGGGCACAGGCAAGACCACCTTACTGCGCCAGATCAGAGAGGAATTATCGAGGAAAGGGAACTGGGCTGGCAGCCGCTAATATCAATGGGGTTATGCTGCATCGTTTCACATGTATTTCTCTGTTGTTATTTTTTTAAATTATTATTATCAAGCTTCATTCCTCCATATAAATAGTGTGCATTATATAGACATGTATACATTTGTGCCTTCAATGAGTTATGACACGTTTATATCTTTCGCTTAAAATGTCAATCAATTTTACATTCTTCGGTATACATACGGAAAATGTACTGTCAGATGGGCAAAGCTACGCACGTTGTTTTTTTCTTACATAGCATATACTCATTTTGGAACATCATGTTTTCATAACATAGTACCAAAAAATCCTAAAGTCAGAATTGGGGATACGAAGTATGAATGTATAATATTTAAAGTTTATAAAATTTCACAATGACATAATGATATATTTTATATATTATATTTTATAACAAACATCAGCCACACATAATGACAGAGGGAACCCAAATATGTGTATATTGAAAATATGGGTTATTGTAAACACAAAACTTTCATATAAAAAAGACATCAATGTTCTGAGGTTACTCCCACAAAGTGATTTTGTATATGAATAAACTGTAAACTACATCTGATTGTGATGGTTTTAATATAAATGTAGTGTACTTTTATGTTTGTGAAAGTGTTCCAGAAATTTGTTTCACCTTAAGGAATTCATAATATTTCACAATTGTTTGCAATCACCAATGCAATTTTTATGTGTGGATAAACTCTACTCTCTTTCCACCATCATTTGTCATCTCATGTACAACAATACTAGCAATATGAGGAGCTGTTGGAGTTATAAAATATTCATGACAAATTAAGAGTTTTAGAGAAATGGGAAATAAATATGTAAGTAAATATTTAGTTTTGGTATGGTAATTGTGTAATACATGTATATCATTATAGACAATGAAATGCATTGATAGATTGCAAAAAATGTATTGGATTGTTTTATTTATTTTGAGACCACCCATATGGTTTATCCAGGAACAAATAGGAACAAAGATAATTGGGCATGGAAAACTATAGAATGTTGATAATGTTGATAATTTCATTGTTAATAATGCTTGAGGTCTTTGACTTAACTTGAGTCACAAGTATTTCTATAAGAGTTTTTCAAATTTTTAGAAATTGTACTATACAAGGAAAAATTATAATGATCATACATTGTCAACATGAAAGTGTCAGCATTTGATTATTCCTAAAGTCAATTTTCATAGGATATTATCTTTTTCAAGAGATTGTTAAGATGTGATTTAAAGTATGTGGTAGCATTAGGTTATTGTTTATTATCATCATATTTCAAAAGTTAATATACCTGGACGATTTTGAATTATCTGTTTTGGTGAAATGTATTATTGAATAAAAATATCAACATTTGAACTGTTTGTGTGTGTGTTGTATTATACTGTGGGAACTGTATGAAATATTGAATATTAAATCAACAATGACAATGAATTGTGATTGGAAGTCATTGGATATAACTGAAAATGTTGTTGACCTAACACATGACATTTATAATCTGAAAACAATCCAGGAATTTACAGAAGTTATATATTTTCCGCTTTGCATGCTTGATATTTTTATAAGGTTGTCAGATGTTCATGCTGTATGCACTATGTGCACTATTTTATTGCATTTAACGCCTAAAATAATTTTACTCACAATGAAACAATTTCTTAAACCATGTTCGAGTTTTCCAAACATATCAACTGTCAAATCAATATTCCGCAATACTCGCACACGTGGAAATTGACCAATGAGAGACGTTTATAACGCACACTATTTATATGGAGGAATGAAGCTTGAAAATAATAATTAAAAAAAATAACAGAGAAATACATGTGAAACGATACAGCATAACCCCATTGATATTAGCGGCTGCCAGCCCAGTTCCCTTTCCTCGATAATTCCTCTCTGATCTGGCGCAGTAAGGTGGTCTTGCCTGTGCCCGCTTGGCCCAAGATCAACAGATTATGGCCATCAATGGCCCCTCTCACTGCCCTGTCTGCCATGTTTGATTGTTGTTTTCCCCATACACATGGAAATTGACCAATGAGAGCCGTTTTGTGTTCCATGTCATTCCGAGATTTTCAAACAGGGTTGATGATTACCAAAGGGTGGCCAGACGTTTGTTCAAAACAGAGGGTAAGTTATGCGGGGTCAGTGGTCAAATATGAAATGCAGTTAGACAGACTGAATACGATGAGCAGAAGGCCAAAAGAATAATCTACAAGCTCAACACATTGTTTTGAGAAAAACGTAAGATTTGATTGAGCTCGCGTTAATATTGTCAGGCTGTCCAGTTTTTCGATCAGGCTTTTAGCATCGCGAGAGTCACCCCTTGTGTATTGTATGACCAGAAATTATTGAGAACTTTAGGAATATATTTAATTGGATTTCTAGTATAAACAACCTTGACCAGCTATCAAGTGCTTGGTTTCATTCAAGAGAGACAACTCTGTTAATCCTTTTTCATTAGTTTGTGAAGAGTTATCCCCCTTTGTTTACTTGCTAGCAGAGGACATTTTCAGTGATCCTCAGTATGGATGATTTAGAGAAGAGGAAGTTGATTTTAGAGGATTATAACAAGGACATCAGATCAGCTAAAGTGATTTCATGTAACACAGGCATCCCCTTGTCCACTGTTTATCGTGTTTTGAAGAATATTGCAAATGGATATGGCATTGAGCACCAAGGAGGCGCAGATAGGCCCAGAAAATTGACTGTCGGTGACAGAAGGCGACTTGATATTCTTGTTTCTAAAAACAAACGAAGGAGTTTAGAAAACTTAAGGCTGGATATGATTGATAGAGGAACTGTGGCTGTCTGTAAGGAGACAATTAGAACTGAGCTGCATGCAATGGTTTGGCAGAAAAGTCGAGGAATTCCATCACCAATCATGAAACCTGAACAAAAGAAGCGAAGGTTGAACTGGTCCTTACAGCATAGAAATTTTAACTGGGACAATGTGATTTTCTCAGATGAAAGTTCTGTGTGGCTGTTTCCTAATACACTAAAAATTCTGGACCAAACAAACTGAAAAACCTTTGTATCAGCGCCCAAAGTACAGTCTGAAATTTAACGTGTGCGGTGGCATATCTGTGTTAGGTGCAACGCCCCTCTGTGTGTTTGAAGGGAATATGAACAGTGAGTGGTACACAGATATTCTCGAGGGACATTTACTTCCATCTGCTCACGTGTTCTATGGAAAATTTTGGATTTTCCAGCAGGACAACGACCCAAACCATCGTTCAAAGCATTCACAGGCCTGGTTTCGGACCAAATATGACATTATTAGATTGGCCAAGATATAGCCCTGACCTAAATCCAATAGAAAATGTTTGGGGACTTATGAAGGAAAGTGTCAATAAAAAAAATCTGACAAATATTGCTGAAATGAAAGGAGAGGTGGTCCGATATTGGGACAGCATGGACAACGACTTTCTAACTTCTTTGATCAGTAGTATGCCCCGCCGCATTGAAGCCTGCATTGCTGCCCATGGTGACTTGACAAAATAATAACTGTTCACCTGTCTTAGAATCTGGAGTTATGTTCTGCTAATATTCACATTAATATGTGAGTAATGAGGGAATTTTTTTTCAAAAATTACAATCTGTAAATTCTCAATAATTTCTGGTTGTACTGTATTTTATGTAATGAGTGCAGCGGGAGAATTTTCTAAAAAATCCATTTCTTCACCGATTTTGTTCAAATTTGAAATATTAGTTACTAATAACATGTAAAAACAATATAAGGTTGCAAAAATCTAGCTTTTTATTTTAAAAATTATTGTCCAAACAGTGATTCAAACCCCTGTGGATAGAGGAACCTGACACTCACACATTTACATAACCTCAGACTCTAAAAGTTAGTGTATTTACTGAGTGAGATTTCAAACTTATTGTTATATTTGCCAGATTCAATTGGACCAGAGTTACCTGCGCTTCGATGGCACCACACCTGCATGATGATTGGCTACGTCACGCTTAACTTCCTCTACAGCATCGTCGTTACCATGACAGTGTTTACCATCATCGTCCTTGCTGTCAACAAGTGAGTGATGTGATGGGCATCATTGTTACAGTTTCTCCCCTCAATACCTCATCACTATTACAGCTTCTCCCCTCAATATCTCATCACTATTACAGCTTCTCCCCTCAATACCTCATCACTATTACAGCTTCTCCCCTCAATACCTCATCACTATTACAGCTACTCCCCTCAATACCTCATCACTATTACAGCTACTCCCCTCAATATCTCATCACTATTACAGCTTCTCCCCTCAATACCTCATCACTATTACAGCTTCTCCCTCAATACCTCATCACTATTACAGCTTCTCCCCTCAATACCTCATCACTATTACAGCTTCTCCCCTCAATACCTCATCACTATTACAGCTACTCCCCTCAATACCTCATCACTATTACAGCTTCTCCCCTCAATACCTCATCACTATTACAGCTTCTCCCCTCAATACCTCATCACTATTACAGCTACTCCCCAATAATTCTCATCTAATCACTATTACAGCTACTACCATCATCACTATTACAGTTTCTCCCTCAATACCTCCATCACTATTACAGCTACTCCCCTCAATACCTCATCACTATTACAGCTTCTCCCCTCAATATCTCATCACTATTACAGCTTCTCCCCTCAATACCTCATCACTATTACAGTTTCTCCCCTCAATACCTCATCACTATTACAGCTTCTCCCCTCAATATCTCATCACTATTACAGCTTCTCCCCTCAATACCTCATCACTATTACAGTTTCTCCCCCAGCACTATTACAGCTCATCCCCTCAATACCTACTATTACAGCTCTCCCCTCCCATCAATACCTCATCACTATTACACCTCATCACTTCTCCCCCTCAATACCTATTACATCACTATTACAGCTTCTCCCTCAATACCCCCATCACTATTACAGTTTCTCCCCTCAATACCTCATCACTATTACAGCTTCTCCCCTCAATACCTCATCACTATTACAGCTACTCTCCCATCACTCAATACTCTCATCACTATTACAGCTTCTCCCCCAATACCTCATCACTATTACAGCACTTCTCCCCTCAATACCTCATCACTATTACAGCTTCTCCCCTCAATACCTCATCACTATTACAGCTTCTCCCCTCAATACCTCATCACTATTACAGTTTCTCCCCTCAATATCTCATCACTATTACAGCTTCTCCCCTCAATACCTCATCACTATTACAGCTTTCTCCCTCAATGCCTCATCACTATGTGTTCTGTAGACACATCTCCCACTATATACACTCCCTCTATATACTGTAGATCTAATATTCTGTCACTGTGTTCTGTAGACACATCTCCCACTATATACACTCCCTCTATATACTGTAGATCTAATATTCTGTCACTGTGTTCTGTAGACACATCTCCCACTATATACACTCCCTCTATATACTGTAGATCTAATATTCTGTCACTGTGTTCTGTAGACACATCTCCCACTATATACACTCCCTCTATATACTGTAGATCTAATATTCTGTCACTGTGTTCTGTAGACATCTCCCACTATATACTCCCTCTATATACTGTAGATCTAATATTCTGTCACTGTGTTCTGTAGACACATCTCCCACTATATACACTCCCTCTATATACTGTAGATCTAATATTCTGTCACTGTGTTCTGTAGACACATCTCCCACTATATACACTCCCTCTATATACTGTAGATCTAATATTCTGTCACTGTGTTCTGTAGACACATCTCCCACTATATACTCCCTCTATATACTGTAGATCTAATATTCTGTCACTGTGTTCTGTAGACACATCTCCCACTATATACACTCCCTCTATATACTGTAGATCTAATATTCTGTCACTGTGTTCTGTAGACACATCTCCCACTATATACACTCCCTCTATATACTGTAGATCTAATATTCTGTCACTGTGTTCTGTAGACACATCTCCCACTATATACACTCCCTCTATATACTGTAGATCTAATATTCTGTCACTGTGTTCTGTAGATACATCTCCCTCTATATACACTCGCTCTATATTCTACTGTAGATCTAATATTCTGTCACTGTGTTCTGTAGACACATCTCCCACTATATACACTCCCTCTATATACTGTAGATCTAATATTCTGTCACTGTGTTCTGTAGAGACATCTCCCGCTATATAATCTAACATTTTGTTACTCCATTCTGCAGGGACAACTCCCAGTTCGTGTCACAGTTCAAGCAACAGTCTTTTGCCAAGACTGCCGTCCACCATTTGGAGTTGCTTGCCATGCAGCGCCATCTGGAGGAGGAGATTAACCGACAGAATGAGTTTGCCAGTCTCACAAAGATACGTTGTGAGGACAGCATGAAGCCAGTCATTGAAGACATGCACAAGGTACGTGTGGACCAAGCACAAGACCTTGACCTCTGATTGTCAAAAGTGAAGTGTTGTCAGGCATCTTTTTATAACGGAAGTGTATTCTAGATGCCAGCCCATTCTTGACCAATCTTGTACACTTTGACAGATTTTATGTGTTGTCATATTGTACGGAATCAGTGCTGGGGCGGTTGTCGGATTAATTGAGACCTGTATTGTGGCGGTTCTCGGATTAATTGAGACCTGTATTGTGGCGGTTGTTGGATTATTTGAGACCTGTATTGTGGCGGTTGTTGGATTATTTGAGACCTGTATTGTGGCGGTTGTTGGATTAATTGAGACCTGTATTGTGGCGGTTCTCGGATTAATTGAGACCTGTATTGTGGTGGTTGTTGGATTATTTGAGACCTGTATTGTGGGTTGTTGGATTATTTGATACCTGTATTGTGGCGGTTGTTGGATTAATTGAGACCTGTATTGTGGCGGTTGTCGGATTAATAGAAACCTGTATTGTGGCGGTTGTCGGATTAATTGCGACCTGTATTGTGGCAGTTGTTGGATTAATTGAGACCTGTATTGTGGTGGTTGTTGGATTATTTGAGACTTGTATTGTGGCGGTTGTCAGATTATTTGAGACCTTTATTGTGTCGGTTGTCAGATTAATTGAGACCTGTATTGTTACGGTTGTAAGATTATTTGAGACCTGTATTGTGGCGGTTGTCAGATTATTTGAGATCTGTATTGGGGAGGTTGTCAGATTATTTGAGATCTGTATTGGGGAGGTTGTCAGATTATTTGAGACCTGTATTATGGTGGTTTTCAGATGTGAAATGTGAATTGTGTTAGTTCTCAGATTATTTGAGACCTGTATTGTGGCGGTTGTCAGATTATTTGAGATCTGTATTGGGGAGGTTGTCAGATTATTTGAGATCTGTATTGGGGAGGTTGTCAGATTATTTGAGACCTGTATTATGGTGGTTTTCAGATGTGAAATGTGAATTGTGTTAGTTCTCAGATTATTTGAGACCTGTATTGTGGCAGGTGTCAGATTATTTGAGACCTGTATTTGGGCAGTTGTCAGATTATTTGAGACCTGTATTGGGGAGGTTTTCAGATTTGTTTAGACCTGTATTGGGGCGGTTGTCATATTATTTGAGATCTGTATTTGGGCGGTTGTCAAACTATTTGAGACCTGTATTGGCTCAGTTCTCAGATTATTGGAGACCTGTATTATGGCGGTTCTCAGATTATTTGTAATGGGCAGTTGTCAGTTAATTTGAAACTAGAAGTGGATCTTCTAGTGCTCATAATGTTTGTATTTTTTTTCAGCTGCTCAGCCAGCTCCTGGAGAAGACTGCTGATGTGTTTGAACAGCAGAACATTGTCACACTGCTGAGTGAACACTCTCATGAAGTCCTCACCAAGCTCTCACAGAACATGTTCACCTTCAGGTGAGTTCACAGAACATGTTCACCTTCAGGTGTATTCATAGAACATGTATGCATTGAGATGTACTCACAGAATATGTTTACATTCAGATGTATTCATAGAACATGTATGCATTTAGATGTACTCACAGAGCACGAATACATTTAGATGTATTCACAGAACATGTGACCCATGAAGATCTGGGCTAGAATTGATCTGCAGTAACCCATGCTTGTCGTAAGAGGCGACTAACGGGATCGGGTTGTCAGTCTCTCTGACTTGGTTGACACATGTCATTGTATCCAAATTGCATAGGTCGATGCTCATGACATTGATCACTGGATTGTCCGGTCGTGACTCAATTATTTACAGACCGCCACCATAATATTAGCTGGAATATTCCTGAGTGTGGCGTAAAGCTAAACTCACTCACTCACAGAACATGTATGCATTGTCAGATGTATTCACAGAACATGTTGACATTCAGGTGTATTCATGGAACATGTTGACATTCAGGTGTATTCACAGAGCATGTTGACATTCTGATGTATTCACAGAACATGTTGACATTCAGGTGTATTCACAGAACATGTTGACATTCAGATGTATTCACAGAACATGTTGACATTCTGATGTATTCACAGAACATGTTGCCATTCAGATGTATTCACAGAACATGTTGACATTCAGATGTATTCACAGAACATGTTGACATTCAGGTGTATTCACAGAACATGTTGACATTCAGGTGTATTCACAGAGCATGTTGACATTCAGATGTATTCACAGAACATGTTGACATTCAGATGTATTCACAGAGCATGTTGACATTCAGGTGTATTCACAGAGCATGTTGACATTCAGATGTATTCACAGAACATGTTGACATTCAGGTGTATTCACAGAACATGTTGACATTCAGGTGTATTCGAAGAGCATGGTGATATTCAGATGTATTCACAGACCATGTTGACATTCAGGTGTATTCACAGAGCATGTTGACATTCAGGTGTATTCACAGAACATGTTGACATTCAGATGTATTCACAGAGCATGTTGACATTCAGATGTATTCACAGAACACGTTGACATTCAGATGTATTCACAGAGCATGTTGACATTCAGATATATTCACAGAACATGTTGACATTCAGGTGAATTCACAGAACATGTTGACATTCAGATGTATTCACAGACCATGTTGACATTCAGGTGTATTCACAGAGCATGTTGACATTCAGGTGTATTCACAGAACATGTTGACATTCAGATGTATTCACAGAACATGTTGACATTCAGATGTATTCACAGAGCATGTTGACATTCAGGTGTATTCACAGGGCATGTTGACATTCAGATGTATTCACAGAACATGTTGACATTCAGGTGTATTCACAGAACATGTTGACATTCAGGTGTATTCGAAGAGCATGGTGATATTCAGATGTATTCACAGACCATGTTGACATTCAGGTGTATTCACAGAGCATGTTGACATTCAGGTGTATTCACAGAACATGTTGACATTCAGATGTATTCACAGAGCATGTTGACATTCAGATGTATTCACAGAACACGTTGACATTCAGATGTATTCACAGAGCATGTTGACATTCAGATATATTCACAGAACATGTTGACATTCAGGTGAATTCACAGAACATGTTGACATTCAGATGTATTCACAGAGCATGTTGACATTCAGGTGTATTCACAGAGCATGTTGACATTCAGGTGTATTCACAGAACATGTTGACATTCAGATGTATTCACAGAACATGTTGACATTTAGGTGTATTCACAGAACATGTTGACATTCAGATGTATTCACAAAACATGTTGACATTCAGATGTATTCACAGAGCATGTTGACATTCAGGTGTTTTCACAGAACATGTTGACATTCAGATGTATTTACAGAGCATGTTGCCATTCAGATGTATTCACAGAACATGTTGACATTCAGATGTATTCACAGAGCATGTTGACATTCAGGTGTATTCACAGAACATGTTGACATTCAGATGTATTCACAGAACATTTGGGGCGGTGGGGTAGTGTAGTGGTTAAGGCGTTGGCTCGTCACGCTGAAGACCCGGGTTGGAATCCCAACATGGGTACAATGAGTGGATCCCCTGTCTGGTGTCCCCCGCAGTGATATTGCTGGAATATTGCTTAAAGCGGTGTAAAACCAAACTCAGTCAGTCAGTCAGTCACAGAACGTGTTGACATTTAGATGTATTCACAGAACATGTTGACATTCAGATGTATTCACAGAACATAAGACATTCAAGTGAGATCACAGCTCATTATATATTGTTCTCTGAAATGTGTGTAATGTCATAATGTTCATTTTTGTTCAGGAACAACTTTCATCGCTTTGTGCGGAACCTACTGGCTCAGCTCTCACATGATATTGAGTCCTCACTGATGGATGTAGAGAACAACCGCTGGCTGGCTGGTGCACGCTTTCTGCATGGCGCCGTCATCAATATCCGCAAACACCTCAACAATGTCTCCTCTAAACAGTTCCTGGACTGGGCCAACCTGAAACACAATCTGGCCAGACTTACAGATGGTAAATCTTCATCAAGGTCTCATTAAACAGGGTGTGACTAGCACAGTGTGTCACTAGCTCAGTGTGTCACTAGCTCAGTGTGTCACTAGCACAGGGTGTCACTAGCTCAGTGTGTCACTAGCACAGGGTGTCACTAGCTCAGTGTGTCATTAGCACAGGGTTTCACTAGCACAGTGTGTCACTAGCACAATGTGTCACTAGCTCAGTGTGTCACTAGCACAGGGTGTCACTAGCTCAGTGTGTCACTAGCACAGGGTGTCACTAGCACAGGATGTCACTAGCACAGGGTGTCACTAGCTCAGTGTGTCACTAGCACAGGGTGTCATTAGATCAGAGTGTCACTAGAACATCGTGTCACTAGAACAAGGTGTCACTAGAACAGTTTGTCACTAGCACAGGGTGTCACTAGAACAAGGTGTCACCAGAACAGTGTGTCACTAGCACAGTGTCACTAGAACATCGTGTCACTAGAACAAGGTGTCACTAGAACAGTGTGTCACTAGCACAGTGTGTCACTAGAACAAGGTGTCACTAGAACAAGGTATAACTAGAACAGGGTGTCACTAGCACAGGGTGTCACTAGCACAGGGTGTCACTAGCACAGGGTGTCATTAGAACAGAGTGTCATGATAACAGGGTGTAACTAGCTCAGTGTGTCACTAGCTCATTGTGTCACTAGCACTGTGTCACTAGAACAGCGTGTCACTAGAACAAGGTGTCACTAGAACAGTTTGTCACTAGCACAGTGTGTCACTAGAACAAGGTGTCACTAGAACAGGGTGTTACTGTTCAGGAACAATTTCATTGCTTTGTGCGGAACCTACTGGCTCAGCTCTCACATGACATTAAGTCCTCACAAATGGATGTAGAGAACAACCGCTGACTGGTGCACACTTTCTGCATGGCGCCATCATCAACATCCGTAAGCACCTCAACAATTTCTCCTCTAAACAGTTCCTGGACTGGGCCAACCTGAAACACAATCTGGCCAGACTTACAGATGGTAAATCTCCAACAGGTCTCATTAAACAGGGTGTCACTGGTGTAGGGTGTCACAAGAGCAGAGCATCACTAGAACACAGTGTCATTAGAACTGGGTGTCACTTGCACAGTGTGTCACTAGAACATGGTGTCATGATAACAGGGTGTCACTAGAACATGGTGTAATAGAACAGGGTGTCACTAGAACAGGGTGTCATGAGTGCAGGCTGTCACTAAAACGGTATCACTAGGACAAGGTGTCACTAGAACATGGTGTCATGATAACAGGGTGTCACTAGAACATGGTGTAATAAAACAGGTGTCTTTAGAACAGGGTGTCAATAACACAGGGTGTCACTAGCACAGTGTCACTAAAACAGGGTGTCACTAGTGCAGGATGTCATGAGAACAGGTGTCACTATAACAGGGTTTCACTGGCACTTGGTGTCATGATAACAGGGTGTCACCATAACAGGGCATCAGTAGCACAGGGTGTCACTAGAACAGTACTCTATGCCACGTCTGTTTGTGTCTTTCAGAAATGACCGTGGCCCCTCCTCTACCTAACATTCCACACATTGAGGGCATCCCTACCCCTACCACCCATCCCCCGGGGGCCAGGAATGCTCGCAATCTCTCTCCCACCCAGTCCAAGACTCGGAAGGTGAGGATACACAGTCATTGGTTCTACCCCTTTGGCACGTCAAGCACAGGCAGAGGTCATGTGACCTCACGACCCTTGGGTCAAGATGATACGAAGGTCACGGAGACCCCGGGATTCATGTCAGTGTTCTACGTGTTTCTGGCTCTGATGCTGTGTGTCGACTTCCTCCTCTTCCTTCATCGCTTCTCCAAGACCATCGCCATGGGGAGACTACTCTTGTATGGCTACCCTGAGTATGTGGACTGTCGGGAAAAGCCTGCCCCAGGTAGGCAGTTTCAACTGATGACCTTAATGGAATAACAGTTTTACATATTGATTTTAGTTTGGTATGTTCTGTAACCAACAGCAGTGTGGCTGAAAACACGTCACATAGACATGATATAACCATGGTATAACCTGACTATGAGGTAGATGTGATATAACCATGGTATGACCTGACCATGAAGTGGATGTGATATAGCCATGGTATTACCTGACCATGAGGTAGATGTGATATAACCATGGTATGACCTGACCATGAAGTAGATGTGATATAAGCATGGTATGACCTGACCATGAAGTAGATGTGATATAAGCATGGTATGACCTGACCATGAGGTAGATGTGATATAACCATGGTATGACCTGACCATGAAGTAACAGTATAATGGGGACATTCTGTTGTCAGGGGAGGAGGACATGGAGGACGATGTCTTCCAGGAGGACGGCAAGGACCAAGGTGGTGCCAGGAACACTAAGACCTTTTTATCCCGTGCTGCGATTGCTGGAAAGAAGTTCTTCATCCAGGTACATAGCTGTATTATTATCCTGGATTGTAGGATTGGTGGTGATATTATCCAGGATTGTAGGTGGCTGGTGAAATTATCCTGGATTGTAGGTGGCTGGTGATATTATCCTGGATTGTAGGTTTGCTGCTCATATTATCCTGGATTTTGATATCATGGATGGTAGGTGGCTGGTCATATTATTGTGGATTGTAGGTGGCTGTGATATTATCCTGGATTGTAGGTAGCTCAGGTCATATTATCCTGGATTGTAGGTGGGTGGTCATATCCTGCATTGTAGGATTGCTGGTCATGTTATCTGGGATTGTAGGTGGCTGGTGATATTATCCTGGATTGTAGGTTTCTGTGATATTATCCTGGATTGTTGGTGGCTGGTCATATTATCCTGGACTGGAGGTGGCTGGTGATATTATCCTGGATTGATGGTGGCTAGTGATATTATCCTGGATTGTAGGTGGCTGGTGATATTATCTGGGATTGAAGGTGGCTAGTGATATTATCCTGGATTGTAGGTGGCTGGTGATATTATCCTGGATTGTAGGTGGCTGTGATATTATCCTGGATTATAGGTTTCTGTGATATTATCCGTAATTGTAGGTGGCTAGTGATATTATCCAGGATTGTAGGTGGCTAGTGATATTATCCTGGATTGTAGGTGGCTGGTAATATTATCATGGATTGTAGGTGGCTGGTGATATTATCCTGGATTGTAGGTGGCTGGTGATATCTTGGATTGTAAGTGGCTGGTGATATTATCCTGGAATGTAGGTGGCTGTCATATTATCGTGGATTGTAGGTGGCTAGTAATATTATCCGGGATTGTAGGTGACTAGTGAATTATCCGGGTTGCAGGTGGCTAGTGATATTATCCGTGATTGTAGGTGGCTATTGATATTATCCTGGATTGTAGGTGGCTGGTCATATTATCGTGGATTGTAGGTGGCTAGTAATATTATCCGGGATTGTAGGTGGCTAGTGATATTATCCTGGATTGTAGGTGGCTGGTGATATTATCTGGGATTGTAGGTGGCTGGTGATATTATTGTGGATTGTAGGTGGCTGGTCATATTATCTTGGACTGTAGGTGGCTAGTGATATTATCCTGGATTGTAGGTGGGTGGTCATATCCTGGATTGTAGGTGGCTAGTGATATCATCCGGGATTGTAGGTGGCTAGTGATATCATCCGGGAACGTTGGGGGCTAGTGATATTATCCTGGATTGATGGTGGCTAGTGATATTATCCTGGACTGTAGGTGGCTAGTGATATTATCATGGATTGTAGATGGCTGGTCATATTATCTTGGACTGTAGGTGGCTAGTGATATTATCCTGGATTGTAGGTGGCTAGTGCTATTATCCAGGATCGTGGGGGCTAGTGATATTATCCTGGATTGTAGGTGGCTGTAATTATTGTCCTGGATATTATCCTGGATTGTGTGTGGCTAGTGATAATATCCTGGATTCTTGGTGGACGGTCATATTATCCTGGATTGTAGATGACTAGTGACATTATTGTGGATTGTAAGAGGCTGTAATAGTATCCGGGATTGTAGGTGGCTAGTGATATTATCCGGGATTGTAGGTCACTGGTCATATTATCCTGGTCTAGTGATCCTGGTATGTTGGCTAGTTGTATCCTGGTGTGTGGGCTGGTTGTGTTATCCTGGTATGTGGGCTGGTTGTGTTATCCTGGTAATGTAGGCTTTTTGTGTTATCCTGGTAATGTAGGCTGGTTGTGTTATCCTGGTATGTAGGCTTTTTGTGTTATCCTGGTAATGTAGGCTGGTTGTGTTATCCTGATATGTAGGGTTTTTGTGTTATCATGGTATGTAGGCTTTTTTGTGTTATCCTGGTAATGTAGGCTGATTGTGTTATCCTGGTATGTAGGGGTTTTATGTTATCCTGGTATGTAGGCTGGTTGTGTTATGCTGATATGTAGGCTTTTTGTGTTATCCTGGTATGTAGGCTGGTTGTGTTATCCTGATATGTAGGTTTTTTGTGTTATCCTGGTATGTAGGTTGGTTGTGTTATCCTGATATGTAGGTTTTTTGGTTTTATCCTGGTATGTAGGCTGGTTGTGTTATCCTGGTATATAGGCTGGTTTTGTTATCCTGATATGTAGTTTTTTTGTGTTTTCCTTATATGTAGGTTTTTTGTGTTATCCTGGTATGTAGGCTGGTTGTGTTATCCAGATATGTAGGTTTTTTGTGTTATCCTGATATGTAGGTTTTTTGTGTTATCCTGATATGTAGGTTTTTTGTGTTATCCTGATATGTAGGCTTTTTGTGTTATCCTGGTAATGTAGGCTTTTTGTGTTATCCTGGTACAGTTTCTGTGCATTCACCCCGCCGCGACAGATAACAACTTTTGCGTTTTCAATGATGATAGTTTCTTAAACAACTTTTTTGGTGGAGTCTGGAAACTTTTTAAATATAAGAAAGCTGTTGGGTATTAGTAAATGATAAACATTTGTACTATTTATATTTATGTGGCAATTTTGTACAATGATAAAATTTGCAATTCATCAGTCTGTTTCTGACTCAAACGGACTGTATGTAGGCTGGTTGTGTTATCCTGGTAATATAGGCTGGCTGTGTTATCCTGATATGTAAGCTTTTTGTGTTATCCTGGTATGTAGGCTGATTGTGTTATCCTGATATGTAGGCTGGTTGTGTTGTCCTGGGCCCCGTTTCACAAAGCTCTCATAAGACTAAGATCTCGTAACTTTCCAATCTCCTATGCTGTAACATTGACTTATGATAGTCGTAGCGCTACGAGAGCTTTGTGAAATGGAGCCCTGGTATGTAGGCTGGTTGTGTTATGCTGGTATGTAGGCTGATTGTGTTGTCATGGTTAGAAGGTACCGTATAGTCTTTCTTGTCATGGTATTTAGGTGTCTGAGTCTGGTGGTTGTTTTCAATGTGACTATCACAGTGTACCACGTTGCTGCTGCAGGTTGTGTCAACTCTGTTCATTCCAAAGGCCGCAGTGACTGTTGTGCTGTGTGTCATCATCTACACAACAGTTTGTGTCACGGAAAAGATCTTCACGCAGGACATGCTCAAGAGTGTTGGTCTACACTATGACATGGTAAGTCTGCCAAAGTGCCCCTGTTGTCATGTAATGAGTTTTATTCAAATGTCTTTTCTGCCTTTTCTGGTCCTCTTTGACAGTTCCTTGTGTTTCATTGTTCCCAGAACAAGTACCTGGGCCTGCAACAGGAAATGATCAACAGCCGGATCCTCTCTCATGCGGAACAGATCAACAGCGTAGAGTATCCGTCTTACCAGAGCTGGATGGTTGCATACATTGAGCGACACCAGCGCATCCTTGAGGTGCACCGACAGGAGCTGGAGGCCATGAGGTCGGTCCACAATGAGACATATTGTCGCTACCTGACCCACCTTGGGATGAATGTGAATTGTTCCGCCCCTGAGGACACTGTCCACACCTACCGGATCTCCACACCTGGCTGTCGCTTTGCTCCTGTGTGGCCCAACTTCTATTTCAGGTAGTCATCTGTGTTATTACCTCCCTTGTACCATTCGGAATGTGTAGGTAGTCACAAGGACCAGATTGGTAAGACAAGGACTGGATCAGTAAGACAAGGACCAGATCAGTAAGGCAAGGACCAGATCAGTAAAAAAAGGACCGGATCAGTAAGACAAGGACCAGATCAGTAAGAGAAGGACTAGGTCAGTAAGACAAGGACCAGATCAGTAAGGCAAGGACCAGATCAGTAAGGCAAGGACCGGATCAGTAAGGCAAGGACCAGATCAGTAAAAAAAGGACCAGATCAGTAAGGCAAGGACCAGATCAGTAAGGCAAGGACCGGATCAGTAAGGCAAGGACCAGATCAGTAAAAAAAGGACCAGATCAGTAAGGCAAGGACCAGATCAGTAAGGCAAGGACCAGATCAGTAAGAGAAGGACTAGCTCAGTAAGACAAGGACCGGATCAGTAAGACAAGGACCAGATCAGTAAGACAAGGACCAGATCAGTAAGAGAAGGACTAGGTCAGTAAGACAAGGACCAGATCAGTAAGACAAGGACCAGACAAGGACCAGATCAGTAAGACAAGGGCCGGATCAGTAAGACAAGGACCAGATCAGTAAGAGAAGGACTAGGTCAGTAAGACAAGGACCAGATCAGTAAGACAAGGACCAAATCAGTAAGACAAGGACCGGATCAGTAAGACAAGGACCAGATCAGTAAGAGAAGGACTAGGTCAGTAAGACAAGGACCAGATCAGTAAGAGAAGGACTAGGTCAGTAAGACAAGGACCAGATCAGTAAGACAAGGACCAGATCAGTAAGACAAGGACCAGATCAGTAAGACAAGGACCAGATCAGTAAGGCAAGGACCAGATCAGTAAGACAAGGACAAGATCAGTAAGAGAAGGACTAGGTCAGTAAGACAAGGACCGGATCAGTAAGACAAGGACAAGATCAGTAAGAGAAGGACTAGGTCAGTAAGACAAGGACCAGATCAGTAAGACAAGGATCAGATCAGTAAGACAAGGACTAGAAGTGGTTCCAGAGTTGTGTTGATTATGTGACTGTGTTTCAGGTCACCAAGTTACAAGGACGATATTGCCGACCAGCAGCTGAAGACCATCCTGGAGGGGATGAGGCAGATCATCATTAACACTTGTCAGACTGTTGCTGTCTTCATGTCCATTGTTGTCCTCAAAGAATTGTTTGGGGTGGTTCTCTGGATCTTTATCAGAAGGTGAGCTAAGGAGGTGTTAGTGGCAATGTTGATCTTAATCGGAAGGTGAAGTGTTAGTGGCGATGTTGTTGATCTTCATCAGTATGTGAGTTAAAGAAGTGTTAGCGGCCACAGTGTTGATCTTCATCAGTATGTGAGTTAAAGACGTGTTAGCGGCCACAGTGTTGATCTTCATCAGTATGTGAGTTAAAGAAGTGTTAGCGGCCACAGTGTTGATCATTCTCAGATGCGGAGGTGAAGAGGTGTTAGCGGTGATGGTGTGGATCTTCATCAGAAAGTTGGTTAGTGGACAGGAATTAGGGGACATCTTCATATGTTATGATGTGCATGATCCAGTGAAACTGTATGCAAAGCAGATATGCAGAACAGATGTTGTAGTGTCATATAGTGTCATCTCAATATCATTCATACCAAGAACAAAGCTTGATGACTTCACAACTCTGGATGTTTGTGTTTCAGATCTGGATTTGTGAGGTTAAGGATCATCTTTGAAACAACAGAAGAACAAACAATCCGAGATGGCTGAAGTGCTCCTGTGGACTCAAGAAATACCACTTAATGGACGACACTGGTCACCTGTGCCCCCAAGGCTGATTATGCATGTCTAGATCTGATTCACCTGTCTGTGATGACTACTGCTCTCCTTCTGATGTTAGCTAAAGATTGCTCTGACTAACAGTCTGTTTCTTGTTGGGACACAGTACATGAGTATCGTGACATTCCCAGCATGCTATTGTCAGTGTCACAGCCAGTCTGCTGATGGTTTCATCTGCTCACTCGTGACATGTGACCAACTTAGGCTTCAGGGACTGCAGACTATGGAACTGGAACATCTTGGTACAGAAATAGGATTAGCAAAGGATGGCAGATTTTCCTGAGAAGTTGTGTGTATGGGTGCTGCACAGGGAGGTTACTTTGATTGTTAATTGCCTTGCTGCACAAGATTGACCAGCTGCCTTACACTGCAAGGGAGACAACTCTGGCCACCCTGACTTGCAGATCCTTCAGTCAGCTCAACATGATTTCCCTGTGCTATTTCTCCTGCCATGGGCACAAGGCTCACTGTACATGCGCCTATTGTTGTGGTTATGACAGTAATCTCCAATTCTGCTCATTTGTGCCATACAATTTAACATGTCTCCTGCATGTGTGGACCCATGGTGGGTTTGTGGTATATCTGTGTATAGCAGGTAGTCCTGCTGTCCATGTGAGTGGGCCTGTTGTGAGTGGCCGGGGTTATCTGTGTCATATCTTTGGTCTGGCTGTTCTGCCTCAGGACCTGTGGATTTGTATGTATATCTGTATATAGTGTAGTCCTGCTGTTTGGATGGGTGGGTGGGTATATCTGTGTATATCATGGAGTCCCGCTACATGGGCCTGTGGTAGGTTGGTGGGTATATCTGTGTATATCATGGAGTCCCGCTACATGGGCCTGTGGTAGGTTGGTGGGTATATCTGTGTATATCATGGAGTCCTGCTACATGGACCTGTGGTAGGTTGGTGGGTATATCTGTGTATATCATGGAGTCCTGCTACATGGACCTGTGGTAGGTTGGTGGGAATATCTGTGTATATCATGGAGTCCCGCTACATGGGCCTGTGGTAGGTTGGTGGGTATATCTGTGTATATCATTGAGTCCCGCTACATGGGCCTGTGGTAGGTTGGTGGGTATATCTGTGTATATCATTGAGTCCCGCTACATGGGCCTGTGGTGGGTTGGTGGGTATATCTGTGTATATCATTGAGTCCCGCTACATGGGCCTGTGGTGGGTTGGTGGGTATATCTGTGTATATCATGGAGTCCTGCTACATGGACCTGTGGTAAGTTGGAGGGTATATCTGTGTATATCATGGATCTGAGCTTGGATGTAAATAGTGCCACCATTTTTTTTATCCATGATGTGGTGTCATGTTATATTGTTACAACCTGTTGTCTTCATGAGGTTGTTGTTGTTGTTGTTGTTGTTGTTGTTGTTGTTCGTGACATGTACAGCAAATCCAACTGTTACAATTATGTCTACATGTGAGTGTAGGTTCCCAGCTACATGATGGTGCAAGAGTGACTGGGGTGTTGAGATGAGGATCAAGACAATGACAAGTTTGGTGTTTCTGACAGAAAGATGGGATGCCATGTTGTGTCAGGAACGTGAGACACAGGGCAGGATATGTTTGAGAAGGAGACAATGACAAGGCTGGTGTTTCTGACAGAAAGATGGGACGCCATGTTGTGTCAGGAACGTGAGACACGCGCAGATTATGTTTGGGAAGGAGACAATGACAAGGCTGGTGTTTCTGACAGAAAGATGGGATGCCATGTTGTGTCAGGAACGTGAGACACAGGGCAGGTTATGTTTGCATGATGTGAAGTAAATCTTACAAACATCCTAAATTCACTGCACCATGAATTGTATATCTTACTGTGTTCTGTGACTATGTATGTTTTTCCTACTTCACATGTACTGGAGTTTTTTACAAATTAGATTGTTTTAAAACGTTTACTTCCAACTAATTAGGAAATATTTTCTACCCTCTCATTGTTGTCTGTTTCAGTACGTTTTATGTTATTGCTCTGACTAAAGTGAATAAATGTGAATCAAATCACAGAATAACATCCAGGCCTTTTTGTGGTAATTTATGGTCAGTACTAAGCCATTTTATTTCGAAATGGAATGGCTATGGTACATGTGTGTGTCAGTGTAATGTCACTATAATCAGAGTGACCCTGATCTGAGGACAGTGCACACTTCATCAGACCCATCAGAGCTTTGCTGAGCAGATCATGAGCATGGATAAATATTCATAAGAACAGACTATGATTGCCAGTACCGACACGCTGAAAAAATGTTTGAATAGAGAACTTTGTATTAATCTTGTGCTGTGATGCTGAAGAAAGATACAGTACAACCAGATATTATTGAGAATTTAATTTTTTTCACTCATTACTCACGTATTAAATGTGAATATTAGCAGAACATAACTCCAGATTTAAGACAGTTTAACAGTTAGTATTTTGTCAAGTCACCATGGGCAGCAATGCAGGCTTCAATGCAGCGGGGCATACTACTGGTCAAAGAAGTTAGAAAGTCGTGGTCCATGCTGTCCCAATATCGGACCACCTCTTCTTTTATTTCAGCAATATTTCTTATTGACACTATCCATCAAAAGTCCCCAAACATTTTCTATTGGATTTAGGTCAGGGCTATAGCTTGGCCAATCTAATAATGTCATATTTTGGGTCCGAAACCAGGCCTGTGAATGCATTGAACAATGTTTTGGATGGAAGTAAATGTCCCTCGAGAATATCTGTGTACCCCTCACTGTTCATATTTCCTTCAAATACACAGAGGGGCGTTGCCCCTAACACAGATATGCCACCCCACACATTAAATTTCGGACTGTACTTTGGGCGCTGATACAAAGGTTCAACCTTCGCTCCTTTTGTTCAGGTTTCATGATCGGTGATGGAACTCCTCAACTTTTCTGCCAACCCATTGCATGCAGCTCAGTTCTAATTGTCTCCTTATCAATCATATCCAGCCTTAAGTTTTCTAAACTCCTTCGTTTGTTTTTTAGAAACAAGAATACCAAGCCGCCTCCTGTCACCGACAGTCAATTTTCTGTGCCTACCTGCGCCTCCCTGGTGCTAAATGCCATATCCATTTGCAATATTTTTCAAAACACGATAAACAGTGGACAAAAGGATGCCTGTTCTACTTGAAATCACATTAGCTGATCTGATGTCCTTGTTATAATCCTCTAAAATCAACTTCCTCTTCCCTAAATCATCCATACTGAGGATCACTGAAAATGTCGTCTGCTAGCAAGTAAACAAAGGGGGATAACTCTTCACGGACTAATGAAAAAGGATCAACGGAGTTGTTTCTCTTGAATGAAACCAAGCACTTGATAGCTGGTCACGGTTGTTTATACTAGAAATCCAATTAAACAATCAATAATTTATGGTCATACTATATTTATTCAACTGTCAAAGTCTGTTGAAGACTTTCTGAAATGACCAATAATGGCAGGATGAGATTTTTTCAGTGGTGCGAAGAATAAAGAATGTAATATGATGGTTAGTATACTGACAACCATGTGCCCCAGTTAGTATAGCGACAACCATGTGTCCCAGTTAGTATAGTGACAACCATGTGTCCCAGTTAGTATAGCGACAACCATGTGTCCCAGTTAGTATAGTGACAATCATGTCTCCCTGTTAGTAGAGTGACAACCATACGCATGTGTCCCAGTTAGTATAGTGACAACCATGTATCCCAGTTAGTATAGTGACAACCATGTGTCTCAGTTAGTATAGTGACAACCATGTGCCCCAGTAAGTATACTTACAACCATGTGTCCCAGTTAGTATCGTGACAACCATGTGTCCCAGTTAGTATAGTGACAACCACATGCCCCAGTTAGTATAGTGACAACCATGTGCCCCAGTTAGTATAGTGACAACCATGTCTCCCAGTTAGTATAGTGACAACCATGTGTCCCAGTTAGTATAGTGACAACCATGTGTCCCAGTTAGTATAGTGACAACCATGTGCCCCAGTTAGTATAGTGACAACCATGTGTCCCAGTTAGTATACTTACAACCATGTGTCCCAGTTAGTATAGTGACAACCATGTGTCCCAGTTAGTATAGTGACAACCATGTGCCCCAGTTAGTATAGTGACAACCATGTGCCCCAGTTAGTACAGTGACAACCATGTGCCCCAGTTAGTATAGTGACAACCACATGCCCCAGTTAGTATAGTGACAACCACGTGTCCCAGTTAGTACAGTGACAACCACATGCCCCAGATAGTACAGTCACAACCACGTGTCCAAGTTAGTACAGTGACAACCATGTGCCCCAGTTAGTATAGTAACAACCGTGTGTCCCACTTAGTATAGTGACAACCACATGCCCCAGTTAGTATAGTGACAACCACGTGTCCCAGTTAGTACAGTGACAACCACATGCCCCAGATAGTACAGTCACAACCACATGTCCAAGTTAGTACAGTGACAACCATGTGCCCCATTTAGTATAGTTACAACCATGCGCCCCAGTTAGTATAGTGACAACCATGTGCCCCAGTTAGTATAGTGACAACCATGTGCCCCAGTTAGTATAGTGACAACCATGTGCCCCAGTTAGTATAGTTACAACCATGTGTCCCAGTTAATATAGTGACGACGTTGTTTCCTAGTTAGTATAACAACAACCATGTCCCAGTTAGTATAGCGACAACCACGTGTCCCAGTTAGTATAGTGACAACCATGTGTCCCATTTACTATAGTGACAACCATGTGCCTCAGTGAGTATAGTTACAACCATGTGCCCCAGTTAGTATAGTGACAACCATGTGTCCCAGTTAGTATAACGAGAACCATGTCCCTCAGTGAGTATAGTTACAACCATGTGCCCCAGTTAGTATAGTCACAACAATGTGCCTCAGTTAGTATAGCGACAAACATGTGCCCCAGTTAGTATAACGACAACCATGTGTCCCAGTTAGTATAGTGACAACCATGTATCCCAGTTAGTATAGTAAAAACCATGTGCCCCAGTTAGTATAGTGACAACCATGTGCCCCTGTTAGTATAGTGACAACCATGTGCCCCAGTTAGTATAGCGACAACCATGTGTCCCAGTTAGTATAACGAGAACCATGTGTCCCAGTTAGTACAGTGACAACCATGTCTCCCAGTTAGTATAGTTACAACCATGTGCCCCAGTTAGTATAGCGACAAACATGTGTCCCAGTTAGTATAACGACAACCATGTGTCCCAGTTAGTACAGTGACAACCATGTGCCCCAGTTAGTATAGTGACAACCACGTGTCCCAGTTAGTATAGCGACAACCATGTGCCCCATTTAGTATAGTGACAACGTGTCCCAGTTAGTATAACGAGAACCATGTGTCCAGGTTAGTACAGTGACAACCATGTGTCCCAGTTAGTATAGTTACAACCATGTGCCCCAGTTAGTATAGCGACAAACATGTGTCCCAGTTAGTATAGCGACAACCATGTGTCCCAGTTAGTACAGTGACAACCATGTGTCCCAGTTAGTATAGTTACAACCATGTGCCCCAGTTAGTATAGTGACAACCACGTGTCCCAGTTAGTATAGCGACAACCATGTGCCCCATTTAGTATAGTGACAACCACATGTCCCAGTTAGTATAATGACAAACATACGCATGTGTCCCATTTAG